CAAAGAGAAGAGTCAGATATAACGGGCCACTAACTGTATATGATGCAAAACGCCATATTGCAGATCGTACTGAGATGGAAAGATTGCAGGGCCTTAGGCAGATTGGGAAAACGGGGACTTTGGGACACAATAAACCACCACAACAGGCAGATACAGGGGACCTGCCTAGTACAGAAGCTAGCCAGGTGGATAAGGAAGGCCCTAAACTACCTTATTGGATAGATACTCAAGGCGATGTTGTATAGGAGCTTGAATAGCTTCAAATTTTGCGTTGAAGTGGGAATTTGCGTTGAGGTGAGGCAGACCAACACGCCGAATGGCGGGTGGGTCTGCTGACCTAAGAGACGGCTATCGGGTTCGGGGAACCATTGATGTATGTGGTGTTGTGGCTGTCACATTGCAAATGATACCAGGTAGAGTGAGATTTACCATGGAATTGGGTCTATACATAATCTCGAGATTTGACCATGATTGTAATACCGACTACAAATTCCAGGAACAGAGCCTATCAAGAGCCCTCTATGGAGACTGCGCGTACCAGTACGTAGTCTAGCCGCTGATCAGGTGGAGGCGGGCACCTACCCACAGCTACAAGCTATCTTTGTACAGTGTACATAGTAGGGCATCATCGGGACACCCAGGTTCCCCACGTGAAAATATGACGTGTGTTCATGAGCTACCCGACTTGGCCTTTATATGAAAATGACAAAATCAAATCAAAGCAAGCCCAGCTAATGGATGATTTGGGGCACCTGACCGTGACTCACGTGTGGGGCTGCTCACCGCCTCCACCCCGTGATCCGCCCTTGCTGACGACCTTATCAGCCGTGGAACTACCCATGACGCGGGGCTTTGCTCTCCCCTTTTGTCATCATCCACCTTCTTTCTACTTGCTCAACTATTACACCAACCATCTCATTTGCATCTTTGTGCAACTCATACCATCTACGTCTATCTCGTTGACGTACCTAGTACCCATAATAAACCGACCTAGCTGTATCCATTAACCGATTTGATTCATCAATATGCGCTCCAAGTTCAAGGACGAGCACCCCTTTGAGAAGCGCAAGGCAGAAGCCGAGCGTATCCGTCAGAAATACGCTGATCGCATTCCAGTACGTACAACTCCATCTGAATCCGTACTTTGTGCCTGATTCTTTGTCTCTGAGCTGCTCTTCTTCGGAGAAGCAAAGTATCTACTCACCGCTTGTTTAGAATGCTAACTCGAGTTTCACTTGTAGGTAATTTGTGAGAAAGTCGAGAAGTCGGACATCGCCACCATTGATAAGAAAAAGTATCTTGTTCCTGCAGACCTTACCGTCGGGCAGTTCGTCTATGTTATCCGCAAGCGCATCAAACTGTCTCCTGAGAAGGCTATCTTCATCTTCGTCGACGAGGTGCTACCACCAACAGCTGCACTTATGAGTAGTATCTACGAAGAACACAAGGATGAAGATGGCTTTCTGTACATCACGTATGCTTTATTCTTCAAGGGCGGTTTTCGGCACATACTGATATACTCTCTAGATATTCCGGGGAAAACACCTTCGGCGATCTTTAAGCTCTGGTCAGCCGTTCTCTTAAGCTTTGTAACTGTTCCACCGTCAGTATGTGTTTTGTTTTGAGGCCGGATGTGTGACCAGCCGCTCCGGTATGAGGCAAACGAGCTGGTTAGACCTTGTGGCGATTCTTCATGTGTGCAGGCGTTAGTATCAGGTGTTCCGTATTCCCTTTATGACCTCTTGGCAAAGACTTATCACTTTATGGTTTAAATGCAAAACTACTTTTGATGTGATTATCTGGTGATACGTACTGACAGGTAGTGATACTCTCATCTTTATGTCAGGCTGCGTTACGTAGCACGCTTCTTTTGCATGCTGATGTGGCTAGTGAATTGAAGATAAGTAGTGAAAGATTCCTCGCGACATGATCACGAATATTATGAATCGGTAGAGCATACTACATGGAACGTATCCGTTACATAACATAGTTTAGACAAGAGATTACTAACCCGTCTCTCCGATATGAATGCCGATAGCCCAGTCCTATTTGGGACTAGTGTTTAGTTCGACGCCGGGAGGCCTCGAGGAAAGTCCGACTCGGCGCAAAACAGGCGATGACTGACCGGGACTCTGCATCTTCTCTTCACGTCCTTGGAGTTCTTTTGCTTTTGCCCCTTTTTAAATTCTTCTCTCCTTTTCGTTTGCTTGCACTGCTTTGGTTCTGCTATCTTAAGCGCACGCCTTGTCGCTTGCCTTTGATCTGATCGCTTTGTCACGGCCTTTTCACTCGAAAAAGATCTATTGAAGAAAAATTCAACTATCGACGACTTTGTCCACTTCTCGTCAGTACAACTTGTCAGGAAGGAAAGATAAAGAAATGTCTCCCGCCATTGCTCAGGCCGGCTCTGCCTCCAAGGATGTCAAGAGGGAATCCGCGACTGCTCGACTTCTGGGTTCCGGTAAGTGTTATGTCCTTGGCTCATGAACTGTTCGGCTGCTAAGATAACACACCAGGAACCGCTGGAATCGCGGAGCTGCTGGTTTTCCATCCGGTATGGTCAACCCATTACATGATTTACCTCTTCTAAAAGGTCTCTGGTGTTTCGAATTGACGCTGATGCTATTCAAAGGTCGATACAACTGCAAAGCGATTGATGAGCAATCAGACCCGGGTAAATACCACCGTTTTCCATATTACTTATCGCATGTTTATTGACTGTATTTGGGATTAGATCACGTCAATGGATGGTATGAAACAGGTCGTTTTCAAAGAGTATGCAAACGCCTCCCTTGGGCGCAAGTTCACCTCGCTTTTCCCTGGTCTTGGTTACGCCGCTGGCTACAAGGTATGTAAAACAGATTAAACGCGGGCACGTGTCACAATCGGTTAATTGGTATCGGCAGGTTCTGCAACGAATCTACAAATATGGTGGCCAGCCATTCGCAAGGGATTACCTGGCGAAACATCATGGTGCCGACTTCGATAATACTTTTGGAAAAGGGACTGGTAAGGCCATCATGCATGCTACCGCCGGAAGGTTTGTTGTTCCCTCACTAGGAGAAACTCAGACGTGTAGACAGTTGCTAATATTTCAATTAGTTTGATCGGTATCGGTGAAATCGTCCTTCTTCCTTTGGATGTCCTGAAGATTAAGCGTCAGACGAATCCCGAGGCCTTCCGTGGTCGCGGTCTTTTCAAGATTATCTCCGATGAAGGAATGGGACTTTACCGCGGCGCTGGCTGGACTGCTGCTCGCAATGCACCTGGGTCTTTCGCGGTATGCTTATGATCATTGACAACCTTGTCGATTATGCTTAGATGCTAATCTGTAATAAAGCTGTTTGGTGGTTCCGCCTTCGCCAAGGAATACATCTATAACTTGCAGGATTATAATTCGGCTTCCTGGGCGCAGAATTTTGTGGCATCTGTCTGTGGTGCCAGTGCCTCTCTGATCGTGTCGGCTCCTCTGGATGTGATCAAGACTCGTATCCAGAACCGCAATTTCGAGAACCCAGAGTCTGGCTTCCGCATTGTGTCGAACATGGTGAGAAACGAGGGCCTGACCAGTTTCTTCAAGGGTCTCACACCTAAGCTGCTCATGACCGGGCCCAAGCTTGTTTTCAGCTTCTGGCTGGCTCAGACGTTGATTCCCGCGTTTGGCCAGGTCGTATAAACGAGAAGAGCACGGATTGATATTAATAGCAGGCTTTAGATATTTGGCTTTTTCTTTTTCTTTTTTCTACCCCTTCGTGCGGCTATTGGTACCATGATAGAACATGCTGTCAGGCCCTTTGTATTTTGATAGATGCTTTTATTTAGCATGATCGAGTTATGGGTAAGATCTTGATCACAAAAGTGAACTCCGCTTAATTATTACATCGCCATATCTGATAGCTAAAGGAGATAAATATAAGCGGTATTTGGGATTCTGAGCGCACAGGGTCACGTAAAGCGTTTTTTCAGATTTGTTTATACTTTGGGAAAAGGCCACACGCCCTTAGGACATCAAACGAGTATCACGTGATCGATAACCCCTACTTCATTGTATCTTTCGCAACTGGAAACCTCCCGTCCAGTTGTCTTATCTCAACAAACTGGACATACCCTGCTTAGCGGGAGACAACAGCAGATATGCCAATCTACCTAATTTCCAAGTACGTCGCAAATCCATCGTCTCAATCCAAACACTATTCATACTGCATGAACCGACGTAGCTCGTTTTGAATATCGGCGAAGACTAATACTGTTAACTTGGGCGAATACACAGAGTTGGTGACCCCTTTTTCGCCTTCACAATAGGAGTTTCTGCTGCCTTCCTCAGAATCTGTCGGGACCAGCGCGAGAAATTCCCTGAAAAGGCCCAGGAAATCGGATACGGCGAGGTTTTGCAGATGGGAGGAAGAAGGCTACGCAGATGGTGGATGGGAGATTTTGAGGGACTATGACCGATGAATAGATGGCGATATTTACGGAGTCCTATTGGAAGAAGTTGTAAGACTCCACGCGCGAAAGAATAAATGAGTATATAATATACCATTTCTCTTGTCGTCATTAGTACCTCCTGGAATCCTTATAGTATCGTTAAAAGATGATTATGCTCAAGGTCTTCGAAAAAAGCAAGTTTGCATTACTGCATTCTACGATACATGAACCAATTTTTATGAAGAATTGAACGTTCGTAAGGAAACTTTTCCCTCCCAAGTTCTGCAAATCATCATGCGTCGAAATGAAACTCAGATCTATGCAGCCATGCACAAAAAGAAAATCCCATAAATTCGTTAAAAAGGAAACAAGCACAGAGTATTAAGGAACAAAACCATTAAAAGCCGATCGCCCATCCGCAAACAGCAAAAATGTAAAAGAAAAACATTGTCGGCCAAGCGACTTAGTCAAGCTCCTCGGGCTTCTCCTCAACCTCGTCAGCGGTACGAGTGGAGCCACCGGGGGCACCACCGGGGGCACCGCCAGGAGCAGCGCCAGCAGCACCGCCATAAGCAGCGGAGATGATAGGGTTAGCAACACTAGAGCACAGTTAGCATCATATCAGTCATGTAGGGATATCAAGGGGCTTCATATCACATACCCTTCGAGCTCCTTCTGCTGAGATTCGTACTCCTCCTTGGTGGCGGTCTGGTTGTTGTCAAGCCAACTGATGATCTCATCGACCTTGCTGGTGACCGTCTCCTTGTCGGTATCAGAGATGGTGAGCTTGCCCTCATTGATAGTGTTCTTGAGGGAGTAGGCATAAGATTCAAGGCCGTTCTTGGCCTGGATACGGGAAGCCTCAGCCTCATCCTCGGCCTTGAACTTCTCGGCATCGGCAAGCATACGCTCAATCTCCTCCTTGGAGAGACGACCCTTATCGTTGGTGATAGTGATCTTGTTAGTCTTTCCAGTGCCCTTCTCGACAGCAGAAACGTTCATGATACCGTTTGCATCGACGTCGAAGGTAACCTCGATCTGAGGAACACCACGGGGAGCAGGGGGGATGCCAGTGAGCTCGAACTTTCCGAGAAGGTTGTTGTCCTTGGTACGAGCACGTTCACCCTCGTAAACCTGAATCAACACACCAGGCTGGTTGTCAGAGTAGGTAGAGAAAGTCTCCGACTTCTTAGTGGGAATTGTGGTGTTGCGCTTGATGAGGGCGGTCATGACACCACCAGCGGTCTCGATACCGAGGGACAGAGGGGCAACGTCGAGCAGCAGGATCTCGTTGGTGGACTTGGAGGAGCTATCACCAGACAGGATGGCAGCCTGGACGGCAGCACCGTAGGCAACAGCCTCATCAGGGTTGATAGACTTGTTGGGCTCCTTGTTGAAGAAGTCGGAGACAAGGCGCTGGATCTTGGGGATACGGGTAGAACCACCGACCAGGACAATCTCGTGCACAGAGGACTTGTCGATCTTGGCATCACGGAGGACACGTTCAACGGGCTCCATAGTACCGCGGAAGAGGTCCTGGCAGAGTTCCTCAAAACGGGCACGGGTGATCGAGGTATAGAAATCAATACCCTCAAAGAGAGAGTCGATTTCAATAGATGTCTGGGCAGCAGAAGAAAGTGTACGCTTAGCACGCTCACAGGCAGTACGGAGACGACGGAGGGCACGCGCATTGGTAGTGAGATCTGGCGTATTCAAGTTAGTATTCAGTTTTCTTCATGCTGCAAATTGGTCTTTTATTTTTGGTTCATTTTTCTTTTGTGTGTGGGTGTGTGTTTTGGTTTTGGGGGAGGGGGGGGGGGGGGGTTGGTTTGCGGATTTGGGAAAAGACTAACCTTTCTTGTTCTTGCGTTTGAAGTCGTTAACGAAGTGGTTGACGAGACGGTTGTCGAAGTCCTCACCACCAAGGTGAGTATCGCCAGCAGTAGCCTTGACCTCGAAGATACCTTCTTCAATGGTCAGGAGAGAAACATCGAAGGTACCACCACCCAAATCGAAGATCAAGACGTTGCGCTCGCCCTCAGCCTTCTTGTCAAGACCGTAGGCGATGGCAGCGGCAGTAGGCTCGTTGATGATACGGAGGACGTTCAGACCGGCGATGAGACCAGCATCCTTGGTGGCCTGACGCTGAGAGTCGTTGAAGTAGGCGGGGACAGTGATAACGGCGTTGTTGACAGTACCACCAAGGTAGGCCTCAGCGGTCTCACGCATCTTGGTCAGGACCATAGAGGAGACTTCCTCGGGAGTGAATTGCTTCTCCTCACCCTTGAACTCGACCTGGATGATGGGCTTGCCACCCTTGTCGACGATCTTGAAGGGCCAGTGCTTCATATCAGACTGGACCTCAGCATCGGCATAACGACGACCAATCAAACGCTTAGCATCGAAGACAGTGTTGTGAGGGTTCATTGCGACCTGGTTCTTGGCGGCATCACCGATGAGACGCTCGGTATCGGTGAAAGCCACAAAGGAAGGGGTGGTACGGTTACCCTGGTCGTTGGCAATGATTTCAATGCGATCATCACGGAACACACCTACACAAGAGTAGGTGGTACCCAAATCGATACCGACAGCGGGGGCCATTGTGAGAATACTAGGAGGGGTAGTTCGTTAAAAGAAAGGTGATAAGTGAGGAAAGAAATTCGTTAACAGAGGGGGAATCAAATAGTGTTCACGTAATGTACAGAGTAGTCTCTTGTCTATAGAGGATGAGACCTAAGTCAATGAGAAAAAAAAAATTTAATGTGTGAGAGAGGGGAAGGCAGAGATTGTGCGAGCACTACAGTTGATATAGTGGTGGGCGGTGAGTTTCTGCTCCAGCGAAACTTCTAGCAAGTCATAGCTTCCACGGGCATCCATGGGCTTCGATGGTCTTCGCCCACACGGGTCGGGCGAGGATTTTGATCGGATCTTCCCTTCCAGAATTCGCCAGTGGGGTTCTGGCCATTTCCATTGCCTTGGAGCGAATTTACTCCTATCTTCGCCATTATTCTAGTTGCATCTACTTGTAGCCTTAGGGGAGATTGGGTGGTGAACTGATTATTATTTTTTTGATTGTGAGAGGCTCTAAATGAATTAATTAATATAATTATTATTATTGTTGTTCTTGTGATTAGATTTTTCTCTCTTCCTTTTGGCGGGGATAGTGGATGACGTAATAGCTGAACACTGGTTGTACATTTCTTTCCTTTCCTTTCCCTTGCCTTTCTACTACATAAAGGGTATAATTTATTCATTTTACCTTCTTGCTTTATCTATCGCTCTCATTGTCTTTTATTCTTCTCTCTTTTATGGATCACAATATATTCAGATCTCTAGTCCATTCTTCTAAAACCCTATGCGTTCAATACGGCATCTGTTATTCCATACTCCTTCCGTCATCATGACCGGTTAAATTCCTTAGGGTTCCATGGATCAAGTATTCCGTAGAGTGACGAATAACGTTCACTTGTTCCTATCGACACCATGTGCGGAATATTCCCACTGCAATACATCATCTTCTCTCGATAGTGTTCGGAAGGTTTCGCATGAAGTCATCGCTGATTGCAACCATGAAGGGGCTAACTACTGAGTGATGCTGTGACAGGTCTGGATCCCTGCCAGAGATCACTACCTCCATATAGAGTACTCGGTAGCATACATGTAGACTTATAACGGACCCTGCCTCCTGCAGGTGATGTGCTACCCATATATTCAAGTACAGTAAATCCTATCTCAGCATTGCGACGAGTTGGCTCGTTCTGTGGCTCATAGGTACATTCAAATTCCTTTATGAGCCGCTATACCTAATTTAGAACAATAGAGCTCCAACGGACTTGGTAAGTGAGAGAATCGCTGAGCTCAAAGTAATCCACCTACCCGATGTGTTCCAATGGATGGATGATATCTATAGGTCGTGGCCCTCATTTGCGTTTCCCAGTGTGAAATATCCCAATCCTGTTTCAATAGGAGGAACCAGGCAAGCGGTGGCCTGAACGCCTACTTGCTCGGGCTATCCTAAAACCAATATGTGGCTGAATCTTGGACAGTGTTGTCATACCTTCTTTGTTCTGGTTCAACTCCGAATACCCGGTAATCTCAGATTGACTCTGGTATAGCTTGCATCTCTCTCCCTTCTAGTTTGACGGGGAACCGTACGAATTCAGTAGCATGTTTGTTATGACATGCCCAAAAGGGAAAAGGTCGTCACGGGAGCAGCACCGCTGATCCCCAAGCCTCGTAGCCAATCAGCGAACACTAACTCCGGGGAAGGCTCCCTTGCAACTTGAGAGCGTTGTTGTGTTCTTCTCGTACAAACAGTTGCTGCAACTATTTAAACTCCCCTTGTTCTATCCCCTGCCCTAACACTCATATTCTTCCTACGAGGTTACATTATATCTGCTCCACAAATCATCTCCATATCCTCATCATCCTCTGTGAACAAGCACCTCAATTTTACTATCCAACATGGACAATAACAATCTAGCCACCACCCTGAGCAATGATCCTGCCATTAACGCACCTGATACCGCGACATTGGGCAGCGGCAAGGGCAAGGCTACGCAGGATTCTGATGCGATGGATATGAGCATAGGCGAAAATGAAAGCGATGAGAGTGAAAATGACGAAAGTGTAAGTTTACGAAACCCCCGACACCCAAATTAAGAAATTCAAGCTGACTGTTTCCCCTTTCCTAGATGGAAGGTAAACATTGAAATCTCCCTCGGGGCTTAGTCCGCTTTACCTGCGTTAGCTTTCAAACATATGTTGACACTGTTCTCCCCTGCAGAAGAAGATGAGGATGACAAAGATGACCTCCCGCCAATCTCTGAAAAGAACATCATTAGTGGCGGGCGAAGGACACGTGGAAAGGTCATCGATTTCACGGCCGCCGAGAAAAAGCTCAACGATGATGAGGGTGAGGATGATGAAGATGATGAAGACTTTGAACCTGGAAACAACGACGACAATATGCGAGACTAAATCAGATTGCTTTACGGCTCATACAATCTCCTTAGAAACAGGGCAAGCCATCGACGCTGGTTTATTGGGGTATTGATTGGTTTCTTCGGCAGGATTTGGTTGCAGGCTTCAGCTGTACAGGAACGACCACAGAGAGCAACTGTAAAAGGCATAGCCTTCTGATCCGCATGGCCAATGTACTCCTAGACAGCTCATGCCGGTATAATAGCCTCTCATACAGGATAGGTCAGTTTCGACAAGACGCAACATAATATTGTGTTCTGCTGGAGTCAGCAAAGGCCGTGGTATAAAAGGGTATACAACTATCCCCGAGCTCAAGTCTGCAGCAAATAACATAAATCAATTAATGCTTAGGGCAGGCCACATGGCCCGCTGACTATAGAGAAGCGGCTGTAGATTATTATATCGTTGTATGGCATTAATTGTCTCTGATTTACTGTAGGATATACTGGAAAGACCAAGGGAATGATGAACGGGCCTACTCTTCACCTACATAGTAAGTTAGTCACTCAGTCACACTTTTCAACCATATCACCACTAGTTAGTAGTGCCAGCGATACTACAATAGATGTTATGTTTGAACTCGGTAGCCTGTAAAGTGGCTAGAAAGCACTTTTCCCGAATAGGAAGACTATTCCGTTTATGGTAACCCGCCGTCACCCCCAGGTCCAAGAAGCAGTGCGGACTTCATGGAGTATTTGTCTATGATTGCCGCAACCAAACCGCAGAAGCCTTCAACCACGGGATCGGGTTTATTAGGTCTCAACAACATAAGTTTGGGTGTAGTCTCTACGCTATGCTGGCCAACTAGAATCTGGGAAATACCCAATTCATGGTACCAACCTCCTAGAATATCTTGCCACAGGGTTGGGCTTGTCTACCTCGCTTTTTGTTATGGCTTCACGGTAAGTTGATCGCGATCCCCCTCATTTCCCTTGGCTAACTATTTGATGGCATAATTTTTAGATTCCCACGCTCCAGCCTTCACCAGCGTGATCCTCGCGCATCGGCTTCCCTCTTTGATTCATATGGCGGCGACTCAAGACCTGTCAGTAGGTCGCCGGGCCGAGTGGGTGGTTATGGTTATGGAGGATATCCCAGCAATGGGGCTGTTAATGGAGCCTCTGTCGGAAATGGATACAGGGATGCAACGCCAAATGCGAAGTAGGCTTCAACGAATAACTTTGGTCATAGTGGAATACATACTAATGCCGAAACAGGGGCCACTACTCCGATGCAGTTCTATCTCATTTAGAGTCGCAGAATGATGCCGAGGTAGAGGGTATCAGCGCAAAAGTCAAGATGCTGAAAGATGTAGTCTTCCTACCCCCTCATCCGATTGATTACGTACATTTAGGTGCTAATATCGAGTCTAGCTTACGCTCGCTATTGGCGAGGAGATTCGGGATACTTCGACAATTACAGAACTCAATGATACATTTGACAACACTCGCCTTCGCATACGAGGAAACATGAGTCGCATGTTGCGGATGGCGGAACGGACAGGTGTCGGCTGGCGTGTATGGCTGGCTTTCTTCCTGGCTGTTTTCCTGCTCTTTGCTTATGTGTGGCTGACTTGAACGGTCCGGTTATGACCCTCCACGAAGGCTCATGGATGTTCAACTTACCTTGTCTCGCACTATGGCGACAGACGCACCAGTACTCTTACTCTATTCTTATTTTTCGAACTACGCTCCTCGCCTCCCTAGCAAGAGACACGAACCCATCCGAATCGAATAACTTGCTAATGAAATCTATGCTAATATCTCTGATGATTGACAAACGAGCAAGTCTTCTGGACTGTGTGCCCACCCTGCTAGTCCCCCGCTCCTCCCTTTTTTTACTTCCTTTTTTGTTGATTTCCTCAGTTCTTTCCATTATGGCCTACAAGGATGGATGGTGCTCGATGATGCTGTGACTGTCAAACCTTGATCTCAATCTTGCATTTCTCTTTTCTTTTCTTTTATTTTCTTTTTTTTTTTTTCTT